TCACATCTGGCTGGTGCATGCCACATTCTGCAATCAGAGGCCAGTACCTAGTTGTCAAGCAAACTGACTTTCCTCAGGTCAGATTTGATGCTGCTATAGTCTACCAGTAAGTTATGCACTTTCATTCATTCTCCCACCAAAAAACTTCTTTGTGGTCTGGTCATCATCACACATGCAATATATGCACCTTAGCCAGTGAAGCCCTACTTTATGGATCTCTGTTTTCAGGTATAATGATCTGGTTCTGTGTAGTTCCTCACTGTTATACCCTCTGCCACCAGAGGATTCCCAAGATGAGCCTCAGACAGGAGCATAACTATGGGTAGGTCACTAGGACATAAGCCCCAGGCCTTTAGTAAAGGAAGACACCAGAATGGAGGCACAGGGCCTCGAGACTTGGGCTGTATAGAGCAGAAGGCAAAAGTCCCCCTCAAAAGCCCACTGCCCTTCTATCCCATAGGAGATGCTGCCACTGCTAGGTGGCAGGGGTCACCACCAAAAGCCAGTTTAACTACTCTCTAGCGCTGCAGCTGCTACCACATTAAGGGATATAGATCACAGCTCACCATATAAAATTGTGTCAGCTGTAGGGCCAGGGGAAGGTTATCCTGGCTTTGGCAAGACACCTGACATGGACCTCCTCTCACAGCAAAGCAGTATCTCCCATGGGAAGGAGGGGCAGTGGGCTTCTGAGGGGACTCCTGCCCTCTCTGCACCATAATATCAGTTTGAAATCTAGCCCAAGTTCTCCAACTACAAAAGTTGTGTAACTAACACAAAGGAGTCAGGAGAACATCATCACCTTAAAGACTGAGATCTTTGTTGCCACCAGAAGGCCTCTTCTTTGCCATGCAAGACTTCAAGGCAGAAAAGTTTCCCGAAGCACATGAAGTCCTCTTCCATACTTCTGCATCACGCACTCGATCTGCAAGTTCCATGTTTCCCAGGTATTGGAAGACTGAGGTTTCCTTTAGTCAATGGATACTGAAAGGATTTGCATTGTGCATAAGCTCAACCTTTTCACAACTGATCTGTGGGTTTGACTGCCAACAGGCTCTGCTTAGGGCCATAACCGTTAGCTACAGCTTAGCTTAACTCTCAACTGTAAAGACCGCAGCTCAGCTCAGCTTGACTCTTATCTGCCAGCATTCACCAGCTTAAAGTCACCAACCCATCACTCCATGCCAACTTTCAATGTAATCTGCTGAGAAAAAACAGCCTGCCGTATCTCCTATACTGCCTTCTGAAGACTTGGGAGGGGATCAAAGAAGGAAGTTGCTATCAAAGGCAGCATGAATGACAAAAGTAAGGTACACAACATTGAGGACAAGAGCTAGTATACAGTCATTTCTAACAGTCATTGTGATGCCAAAATTTAGGTTTGTGCATTAGCAATGGAAACAAACCATTTCATGTTGTCACAAAAGCTGACAGCTTTCCTGACATTGACAACAGGCATGGAAAAGGTCCTAGTTTTGGCATTAGAGCCCATAACATGCTTTGAGAGATTGTCAAATGTTTTGATTAGATCTATGAACACATAAATCTCTCTGCATTGCTCTTTCTACTTTTCCAGCAGCTGTTTCAGAGAAATATCAGGTCAATTATTGATCTGCTAGGACAGAAGCCACACCAGCCTTTGGGCGGGAGAGTCTCCAGCGGAGCTGAGCTGATTTCTGATGATGCGAGTCAAAATCTTGCCAGCAACACAAAAGGAGGTAATCCCTCAATAGCTGTTCCTAATAAACCTGCAGTTCTTCTGGTACAGGACAATAATAAGACCATCCTTGATGTCTTATAAGGTAATGTAAAGCAGGAAGGAGTCATCAAGCAGAGCTCCCCAAGAGGCTACCTTGGTTTCAGTACTGTTCAATTTGTTCTTTAATTACTTGGAGGATGGAACTGAATTTTCTTATTAAATCTGTGGATGACACCATGATGGGTGTGGCAAAAAAACAAACAAACTGGAGGACAGGATTCAGGTTAAAAGTGATCAATTGGAAAAATGGTCCGAGGTAAACAGGAAGAAATTATATGTACAAAATACTACATTTAGTAAGGAATAATCAAATGCACAGATGCAAAATGAGGAACAACTGGCCAGGCTGAAATATTGCAAAAAGGACTTGAGAGCAATAGCATAACTGGGAGTAGGGAACCTGGGCACCAGCTCCAGATATCACAGTTGTCCCACAGCAGCAGCCAACCATACTGCTGTGATAGGTACAGTTGGAGCCAGTATGGCCTTGTGCATTGATAACCACCCCAGTACAGACCTGCCCTGGTATGCCTCTACCTGAGAGTCATAATGTCATTTCAGGAGAGAGCCGACAAAGGAGAAAGTAGGCTAGGGTCCTAAAAGTTTGGGCTTGTGAGGAATGCCAAATAGGCTGAAGAAAGCTGAATATGGTACATGTGTGAGCTTTATTTTTCTGAAAGGAAAAAGTCATAGACCTTGAGTTTTGCTACTAGTGATCCACCAGGGTTTCTTTTCCTCTCCAAACACAGGTACACACTCCTTCCTGTTAAGGATTCTGGATGTCTTCCAACAGGCATTTCCTGCATGGAGAAGTACAGCAATTAGAAGTATTGTAACTTAAAGGATTTCCAAATAGTGCAATGTGAGCTTATACAACAGGCCCCCTGGGATGGTATTCCAGTAGGTGATGCACCGTATGAAGAATTCTGATTTCTGCTCCCAGTGACATTTATGCATTTTTTCCCCAGGACAGTTTAATGTAAAATGCACAAACAGCACTAGAAGCAAAAATTCCTTCTCTCCCAAACCAGTCTCCTCATCAGACTTCAAGGTCAAGCTATATTTTGCTTGTTCTCCTGACAGCACAAATCTTTCCTTCTTCACTACCAATCAGCCTAACTTTGCTAAGACAGTGGTATCAGCCCTGCCTAGGCTAAAGCTTGGTGGTTAAGCTACTGTTTTGGGATGCGAGTACTGATCTCTTCCCAGAACGTAGGCTTTCTGTGTCTTGTACCAGTGCCTTAGCCATTAAACTACTGGATAGCAGCAGCACTGTTACCATTATGCAAGCCAAATCATACAAGTTATTGTTTTTTTGCCAACTGCAATTTAGGGGTCTTTTGTAAAACTGATATGCTTCGCCAGTGACACTGGATTGCAATTTCAGGGAGGCCAGATAGAATTAGACATCTTGGTGGCTGTATTGCTACTGAGCATGTGGAATAGCATAAGATCCAGTCTGGTTAGACATCAAGGGAAAATATGGAGATAACTTTCTTGCTTATCCACGATCATGAAATTCATGCTGGGTGAAATGCAATTGCATTTAGATGCCTAAAACCATAAAAGTGGCACTTAGAGGTCTTAATGATAATGCAGGATTTAGCCCTTCATCTGTAATGTTAATTAAATGCAGGGCTTCCACCATTCTTCTCCCGTCTCCTTCATGAAAAAGAAGTTCCAATGCGTATTTTAAGCAGCAAGGTTTCACTGGGTGTATCTACACAAGATGCTTTGCTGTGCAGTAGACTAATCTACTGTTCAGTAAAGCATCACTATGTAAGCAATTTAGGGCTTTGTGAAGCTTTGGTCCCTGATTTGATTTGGTGGAGATTCAGCCCGACTTGGTGGCTGACTCTCCAAATCCAAATTGAATCAGAGGACCCTTCAATGTCTCTGAATCCAATTGGAACCCTCTGAATCGATTCAGAGAGATTCGGAAAGATTCGGCAATTCAGACATAGATGTAGTTTTAAATGTATATTTTTTCTACATACCTCTAGATAGCAGGCAGCTCATGAATGCTGTGATGCTGAGACTCATGGAGCATCCCACAGAAGCATGGGGAGCTCCTCAGTGCGCTCAGCAGCAGACCCAGAAATAGACCAGAAACAGTTCTGGTCCACTTCTGGGTCTGCCAGACAGCACACCGGGGGCCCCCACCCTGCACCCCCCCAGCTCTATGACCGGTGCCTCCTGGGTCTGGGGGGACACCTGGGTTCCCCCCACGGCCGATCTCTGGCAGACCTGGAAATGGATCAGAAGTACCGAAAGTGGCTCCATCTGCTCTAGCATCACAGCGTTCATGAGCTGTGCTGGTACTTTGAGGTATGAAGAAAAAAACATTTAAAGCTGTGTCTATGGCCAAATCACTGATTCTTTGAATCGGCATCGAATCTTCAGATTCGGCCAAATCAAATCAGGAACAGTGATCCGAATCAACGAATCAAACTACTGTCCCTGATTTGGGCTGAATCCAAATTGAATAGGGCCTGCTTCACACACCTCTAGTAAGCATGGGTTGAGCTACTGCACAGTAACATAGGCTAATGAGCAAGTTTGATCCCAGTCAGCCAGACCAGCATGGTGCCAGCCTCCTGCCAGGGACAGAGCAACATGGCTGGGAATCCCTCCAGCTACGGGGCAGACACAGCACTTTAGTGGTCCCTAGCTGGCCTTTGGACACTCTGGCTCCAGGGGTCAAACCAGGGAAGCCGACGCCTGCCCCTGGCCACTGTGCTCGACACACCAGCACACATGCTGGCTGCAGCGGCAATGCAGAGCCCTGGTCTGACCCCTAGGCTTCTGCCAACTGCTTCTTGGCCCCTGGGCACTGTGCCCCTGTGCTTTGGATGTGTGCCACCTCCAGCGGTCCCACAGGCCACTGGCCCGAGCCTCAGGACCTTTACCTATAGCTGCCTGGCCTCTGGGCACCATGTCCCTCTGCTGTGGGTACATGCCCAGACCCAACAGCACCCAAAGTCCCTGCCAGAGGCAGCACCAGCAATGGCAGAGTCCCCTGACCCTAGGGAGAGTGGCCTGGGTCCCAAACCAAGTGGCAGAAGAGACTGCTGGTCTGGGGGGAGGCTGATGTGCAGAGACAGTATGCACCCCCCCCTCCAAGACTCTGCCAGCATGAGTCTGCCCCCACCCCCCATGGAGACCCCTGTCAGGCTCAGTCTGCCCCTATCTAGAGACCCCTGGCATCTGGGCAGCTGCATTCAGAGCCTACAGCTGCCCCTAGCTACTGCAGGAAGTCAGAGCAGGGCAAGAGCAGGCTAGGACCTGCTTAATCCTATAAGGAGCAAATCTATTCCCACCAAGGTGCAACATGTAGATGCCTCCCCAGGGCTGATTTACTGTGCAGGAAATTACTGCACAGTAAGTCTAAACAGCATTAATTGTACATGTAGACACACCCACTGTAAACTACCACTATGTAAGGAGCTACAGGAGGGTGGGGAGAAACAAAAACTGCATTTTATTTAAAAGGTAAGGGGAAAAAAAATCAGTACAATTCAGGAACTCACAGCATATATGGAATGGGCTGTGACCTTGGGACCAAGTTTTACTCATAGCAGAGATCTTGCCAAAGCTATATAAAAAAAAACTTCCGGCAGGAGAGGAGATACTATACACTACTGAGGATGAGGTAGAAAGTGGGTAAATGCAAACCTGGCCTCATCTGCACATCATTTTACCAAGAGGATGATCTGTGCCTTGTATGTGCACAGTCTGCATTTTGTTTCACGTGTGTGAAAATGTTAAGATTTGGAAGTTGAGAGGGGTTAAACACTATTAGTCATATTTGAGACTGAGTGGAGCATGTAAACAATGCCCAAGGTGCTTGCAGTCAAAAGTCACCTTAACTAGGACTAAAGTCACAGAGTGAAGGCACCCAGAAGAGGGTCAGCTGTAAAGGAAGAAGATGAGATAGTTTAAATGGTCTTTGTACTCAACTAAGGGTCATAACTGGCTGGAGCATCAGGATCAGAGAATACTAATCAATGACTCAATGTCAGTCATGGGCCAGGTTTTGTTCAATGTCTTTCTCAATGACCTACAAGAGGGCATAGAGTGCACCCTCAGCAAGTTTACAGATGACACCAAGCTTGGGGGAGTAGTAGGTACAATGGAAGGTGACCTAGACAAATTGGAGGATTGGGGCAAAAGAAATTTAATGAGGTTCAACAAGGACAAGTGCAAAGTCCTGCACTTAGCATGGAACAATCCCATGCGCCAGTATAGGCTAGGGGCTGACTAGCTGGGCAAGCAGCTCTGCAGAAAAGAACCTAGGGGTGAAAATACACAATAAGCTGAATATGAGCCAGCCGTGTGCCATTGTTGCAAAGAAGGCTAACAGCATACAGGATTGCATTGATAGGAGTGTTGCCAGCAGGTTAAGGGAAGTGATTATTCCCCTCTATTCAGAACTGGTGAGGCCACATCTGCAGTACTGTGTTCAGTTTTGGGCTCCCCACTACAGAAAGGATGTGGACAAATTGGAGAGCCCAGCAGAGGGTGACAAAAATGGTGCAGGGCTGGGGGACATGACTCATGAGGAAAGACTGAAGGAACTGGGCTTAGTCTAGAGAAGAAGAGACAGAGAGGGGGCTTAATAGCAGCCTTTGACTACCTGAAGCGGGATTCGAAAGGATGGAGCTAGACTGTTCTCAGTGACAGCAGATGACAGAACAAGAAGCAACCGTCTCAAGTTGCAGCAAGGAACGTTTAGGTTAGATATTAGGAAGAACTTTCTCACTAGGAGGGTAGTGAAACACTGGAACTGGTTACCCAGAGAAGTTGTGGAATCTCGTTCCTTGAAGGTTTTTAAGAACCAGCTAGACAAAGCCAGGATCTAGTTGGAGCTGGTCCTGCTTTGAGCAGGGGGTTGCGCTAGATGACCTTCTGAGGTCCCTTCCAACCTTCATTTTCTATGATTCTATGATACAAACACTAACACTACTATCTCATTTTCTTTCTTTTTTTTTTTTTTGGGTGGGGTGGGGGTGGGGAGGGAGACACCAAAACTACACAGGTATTCAAGGTGGGATTTATACAGTGGCATAATGATCTCTTCTGTTTTGGCAAGGATTTTTGTTTACGATATCTTTTATTGGACCAATTGTATGGTTCAGATAGATTTAGACAAGCATCCGAGTACCAGATTACCCTTACTCAAGATAGATTTCTGTTTTGTTCTCAGTTCCCTGATTAATCATTCCTAACCATCTGTTTGGCCAGTTTCTGAGCATTGGGCTTATGTTTTCAGAGAACTGTCCACAATAATTCCAAGATCCCTTTCCCGGGCAGAGTAGAGCCCATTTGGGAACAGTTCAGTTGTTAGGTGCGTCCACACCTTTAAACCCCCACATGGACACTTTTATTCAGTGAAAAGTGGCCTTAAGATGCGGCAAACTAAAGAACGTTAACTTATGTGAATTAACTTGACAGTTTTAGGTGACTGATCTTACTTTTCATACTTCATTTAGGTTGTGCTGGAAAGCTGTGCATCTACCTTCAGAGTTTCTCTGGGGCAGCTCTTGCCATCAGCAGAATAACAACACCACTATAACTAAAAGATGACTTCTGCTGCCATCCATCAGCTGACAGAAAACACATCTATACATTCCTACATCTTCTGCCAGATGTTTTAGTCCCTTCAGCAACTAGTGCTGTTGCACTCTGCACCTGCCAGCACAGCTGCTGTAGGGGAGCCAAACAGATGTGAACATGCTTTGACAGCTTCCCTCTACAGTGGTTGCTGTATGCCATCAGTTCTGATGATAGAAGCATCCTAACGTAGGCAAGGCCCTAAAGCAGGAGCATTCTTAACTGAATGTCCTGGAATGCTTTTGTCCAAGTTGTTTGTCTAGCTTTTAAGTTTAATTGTGTATTCCAACAGTGGCTGAACACAAGATGGGTATTTCATCTCCCATAAATCAAGAGCCTTATCCCATAGAAATTGGAGAAAATGTAGCGAGACAATTGCCTCTTCCAAGTAGAAAAGCTGCAGTTCTCCATCCCAGAGTACTTGCAAGGGTGCAAATCAGTCAGTTGTCAAACAAATCTTTTATCTTCTTCTCATCTGAGTTTGCAACATACACTTATCTACAAAACAGATGAGCCAAACCCAATGATTGATTATATTCATACATTACCCTTCTGTAGCACCTTTCACTGTAGCATCTCAAAATATGACACAAACATTGATTAATTAAACCTCACAACCCCCTTTCCCATGAATTAGATTACATGCTAACCCTGCAACATAAATCTGCCTGCAAAGATTATGTCCCTTCACAGAGGTCAGAGGCTGTGGTGATGCATATGGGGTGCACATGCACCGTGGAGGTACCCTTGCCAGGCCCCATCCCCTGCCTGCTTCCTCAGCCCCCCTGCCCACTCTCCCCCTCCCATGGCTACCTCGCCCAGCCCCAGCTCCTGGTTCTTAACAAAAAAAAAAAAAAAAAAGCCCCAGGCTCACTGGCTGCTGCAGTGGCTTTGGGGCTTCTGGGGGCTCATAGCAGAGCCCCCCACGCGGTGCAGGGCAGTGGGAGGCAGTGGGGATCACGCCCACGCCCCCCACCTGGCAGGAGCTGGTGACTGTGGGGTTTTGTTGTTGGTTTTTGTTTTTTTTTTTCTTTTAAAAAGAGCTGATGCTGGGGCAGGTGAGGCAGCCATGGGGCCGGGCAGGGGGGCACTAGGAGAGCTGGCAGAGATGGGGGCTCATGGCAGAGCCTCCA